GCCTCCTCCTCCCCCTTTTGTCAGGCAAATGCCCTCCCTTTTCTCGTTTATTTCTCTTTTTCTTTACAAAACATGGTGCCTTTAAAACGCCGGTTGGAGGCCGATCACCTCAGGAAGATTCAGCCTCGGGCGAAGCAATCCGATAAAAAACCTGAAAGTATATTTCCCCGGCTGGGCAGTGAGGGAAAGTTTAGCCGCGCGGAGAATGTATTTATTCTTAGGAGCTGTTCCCTGTTCCTTCTCCTCCCTCCAGCTTTTTTCGCAATGATAAATTGCCGAGGTCAATAAGCCACCTTGACAAACGCGATAACCCCTGCGAGAAAAAACTCTTTTTTTTTTTTTTTTTTAAAAATAACCCTCCTAGCCTAATGAGCTCTAATGGACGCTCCAGCAAAATAAAGATCTAACGTAAACCGCTTGAAGCCAGGTGTGGGTGAAAATTGTTAATTTTTGGGAAATAGGTCTGTGGGATGCTGTAATCGCTGCTGATACGGTGAAGGAAAGCTGGGGTATAAAATGTCAAAGCCCCACTTACAGGCATGTGCCGTGCGTTTATTTTCAGAAATGAGGTGGATTGGTTTGGTGGTGTTCTTTTTAAATTTATTTTTTAAATTAATAACCCAGTGTATCGCTTGCAGCCTGGTAACACACTTGCGTAACCGGCTGCATCGATTCCACCTCACGTTATTGAAAACATGGCATGCTTTAAAAATAAATCGTGGTGTTGGGTGTTTCAGTTTTGCGGGGGAAATGGGAGGATATTGCATTAATTTTTTAATGTATCCTGCTTGTACTGCCTAATGAAGCTGGAGAAGTTCAGGGCTTGGGCTGCTCCCAGAGTAATCCCTGTTGGTTCCCCCCCCTCTCCCATTAGCCAGCAGGATCAGATCACTCATTGCAGAAATGTTGGGGGTTTTAGATTGTGGTGAAGATGGGAAAGGGCAGAAAATGGGTTCGAATGCTCTGTGGGGAAGGACAACGCTGCAACAAGCCGGCTGGGATAGGGTTACAATTAACCTGGGTCGACCAAAAGAAAAACCCATTTTTCCTCCAGCTCTCTCAGTCCCACCTGAAAAAACAAACCCCAACATCATCAGTGCTAAGCACCCAACCCTTTGCCCAGCACCTTTTCCAGCCAGCAAAGCCCCAGCAGCTGCTCCAGCCTCAGTTTCCCTTCTGCAGCATTTCCCTCTCCGCAGCCGGCTCCTTCCCGGCACCTTGGAGGCAGTGATGGCAGAGCGAAGGCATGCAAGGAATCCAGCTCATCTCTCCCCCTCTGCTTTTCACATTTCTCACGGCTGATCCGGGGGGATGCCCGGGAAGGGCACTTTCCAGCCCGTTTCCCTTTACGGGCTTGCTTGCCTCATGCTGAGCCAAAATCTTCGACTTGAAAACAAAATCTGCAAAAAGGCCTTATTTATTATGCAATAACACCTTGACCACTGATGTAAAAACACTATGGCTGTGCCTGTCAGCTCCTCCTTATTTAATTCAAAAAGCTCTCTTTAAAAACCAGGCAGTCCTTTGAGTTGCAAGGAAGATAACCTTCGGTGTTTTTTAATGGGATACACCGGTTGTATTCCTGAGAACAAATAGGGCTTACAGCAGGGTACGGTATCAGATGCCTTCGCTGGGAAAGCCCGAGGAAATTTTATCCCCGGGCCGCACCCAGCCTGAAGTGAAGAAATATTTGCATTTGCTTCTCCTTGGAGGGCAGCCAGGTCCCTCCCCGCTCTCCTTGGCCTGCCAAGAGGGATTGCAAGAAAAGACGGGTTTATTGCAGCAGCCGAGGGAAGGGCAGGGCCCAGCCCGTGCGATTTGTAGGCGTACGATCCTCTTTGCCCTTTTGCACTGCCGCTGGAAGAAGACGGGAGAGACCTCGAGTAGGTTTTACGCCTGGGTGGTCTTGGGGGGGGCTCTGCAAGGCTTTGGGGGGCTCCCAGGGCAGAGCAGGATCTTCGTGTTGCTCCGTGTTTGCTTTGTGTTTGTTTTGGTTTTGCTGGCAGATCTGGGTGCTTGCAAAAGCGCCTGCAGTGGGGCAAGGAGCCCAGGGATGGGCTGAGCCATTGCAGCTGATGTGGGCTTGCTTGGCAGCAGGATGGGACCTGGCTCCCACAGCCTCACTCCTGCAAAATCTCCTCCACGCTGCTCGGCCGATACTGAAAATTCCTCGAGATCCTCCTGGGGGAAAACACAGGGCCGTGCTTTTCAGGCTTAGCGATGCTCCCTGTGCCTCAACTTGTAATGCTTAGCCAAGAAGAGAACAGCTTCAATCAGTCTTTTATTCTCTTAACCTCCCTGACCATCCATCCCTGTCCCTTGCTAGCCTCCACTCCTGGAAAATTATGCCTAATCTGACCACTCCTGTGTCCCTTTGCTGCACCATCAAACTCTCCAGCTGTGCCTTGTCCTTTTCCTTACCCTCCAGGGTCTTCTCCCAGGGCTTCACGTCGATAAAATCCTTTCCCTGCCTACCACCAAGCAAAAATTGCCACAGTCCTGGTGCACCCATCCTGGCTTGCTCTGCAGGGGAAGTAGCCGACCATTAGCTCTGCAGAGGGGTGGTGTAGCTTGCTGAGCACCCATGGGTGCTGCACAGGGGGCTTAAGACAGCGTGTAATGCAATAACTCATCCAGAGTGCTGCTCAGCATCAGCATTTCTATGCTCCCCGAAAACCTCTCTTGCAAAAATACCCACATTGCCAAAAAACAGGCAGCCCTTTGCTCTCTGGGGTTTCCCTTCACCGCTCTCTTTGGCACTGCCAAGCCTGCCCACATCTTTTTACTTTTTTAGCAATGTTTTTGCTGCCTGTTTTTCTCCAAAGAGTGAGAGGGTTTGGAAAGCGAGAGCTGACTTTGAGCCTGGGACTTCCCCAGCGTGGGACACGGGGTCTGCACCCAGCCAGACCCAAAGCCACCTACTTAAGTGACTGGGCAGACCGCAACTTTACATTAACATCCTATTTATAAATAAGTTTATAGCTAATTATGACCTGATGGATGTGCCCTGGACGCACATTAACGAACATTGAGTAATAGGCTTTGTAGATGGGGAGAGCTGGCAGGAAATAGTTTCAGGGTTGGTGTGGTTAATCAGCCAGCCCACCAGACTGCAGTGCATACCTTAACCATACATTAACCCCTTCATTCATAAATACAGCACATGCCGGAGAGCCATTGTACAATGCAACCTAGAAGCGTATGGCTGCTGGTTTCTATCAGCTCCCTTTTTTCATCAGGAAAGCATTAAACATCATCTCAGATGCTCTTGCTATTTTCTGCTCTCGATTTGTGGCTTTTTAAGCACTTTCGGTTAAAAAGAAAACCCCTCTTTCTCCAGCTGGTTTGCAACGCCCTCACAAACAAAACCGCTAAGCACCGGTGACATCAGTTGCACAGATGTTGGGCACACAGAGAAATGGTCTCATTTGTGCTGGTTTGGGGCTCGGACTGAGAGAAGATCAAAAACCTTCTGATGGCAGAGCCATGTTGTATTGGATAACGTGTAAAAATGGGGCTGTTGGTCTTTCCTGGCATCCCCGCTGTCGGATGTGAGACACGGATATAGGAGACGGAGACGGGGTTTAGCTGGAGATTTTCTGCTTGATGGAGGAATTTGTGCTCTGGCTGCCCTCTGCCGGCTCTGGGACTTGGTTGAGATGGATCCCAGACAGTGCAGCCTGTCCGCCAAAAAAAAAAAACAACCCACCATCGAACACCCTCTCATCAGCACCACGGCACCTCACAAAATCCCAAGTCCAGCCCCAAAAAATGACCCTCTGCTCTCCCCCAGGCATCAACAGATCAGCAGTGTTATCACCCTGAGCAACCCGACTCTTGCCATGCCTATAAAATCTAAAAAGTGGCTTTTTTTTTTTTTCTTATTTTTAAACTTGCGTTTTATGGGTTTGGAATGCAGGGCGGATGAAAGAAATGAGGGTTTTTTAACTTGGGGCTTTATTTAACTGCAAGTAACTAAATCAGTGCCTGCTCTCTGTGTCACCACAGCGAGAAATGTTTAAGTGAAACCCCAAGGAAGCTTGAGAAGAGAGAAAAAACACCCAAGGAAACCAAACCGGCCTCAAAAAAGGAGTTTTAAAAAAGAAATGAATGAACAGAACCTCAGTTCCTCCACCACCACTGCTCTGCCAGGGCTTTTTATGTTCGTAACAAGCACAGAGCTGTGCTGGGACGCTATATCCGTGCTTCTCTGCCCGGCCAGCCCAGTGGGTCGGGGTCTCAGGTACACGTTGGTGATGGAAATTCCAGTCCTGCAGCAATTTGGGGGTGCAGTGGGCACCCGACACTGGTTGCAGGGTGCATCCCAGTAGGTGCACCCCCCCTTTTTGGTGTCCCACGCTGGAAGACGGAGGTTGAGCCGTGGGGTTTTAGCAGGACGACTCGTTTCGCCAGCGGACGTGGCAGGACTTGCAGAGGAGGTGATCATCCAGCGGGTAGCACCCGTTCTCCGTTGGCTCTGGTGACAGGGGTGTCCCACAGCTCTGGGGACGAAAGAGGAAAGAGAAGCTATGTTTTAGGGGTCCCCGTGCTGTGTTGCATCCCATCTTTCCTGCAAAACCCACCAGCACTTGGAAAAAACAGTGAATTACATCAAAAGCAATCCTGGCCAAACGCATCATCCTGTTCACCTGATTTATTTATTTCTAGCCCGTCCTGGCTCTAAAACAACCCTGGGTGCTGCGAGCCCTGTGGCTGCACTTTGCAAAGCCTCAGTGCCAAACCCCTCAGTTTTCGGGGGTCCCATTGGGGCCGTACCTCGCAGCGGTAGCAGCTCTCATGGAAACTGCGTCCCAGGCACTCGATCTTGTAGGTGTCTTTGTCCTCATGGGGGATGATGGGGTGCTCACAGGCACTGCAGACCACGGCGTATTTCCTGATGGGAGCAAACAGGGGTGGCGTGAGCCCTGAGGGGTGTCAGGGACAAGCCGAACCCACCCAATGGGGGGGAGGGCTCCCCCTTTGCCATACTCCCCAACCTGTAAAAGTCAGCCACGCAGTACACCTCGTCCCGCTCGCCCACAGCAAAGCTCTCGGCGCCGATGGCCCGGCCGCAGGCGGTGCAGGAGAAGCAGCCGGGGTGGTAGCCCTTGCCCAGGGCACGGACGATGTGCTCTGCGATCAGCCCCCGGCACTTGGTGCATTTCTCCAGCGTGACCTGGGATTTGGGGGGACACGCTGTGAGATGCCAGCTCCCCCCGAGGGTGCCGGTTGTCCCTGAGGGAGGACGGGTACCTGGTAGCAGGCATCACATGTGGGGCGCCCATCTTTTTGATAGTAGCGCTGGCCGGCCAGGAGCCGGTGGCAGGTCCGGCAGGTGAAGCAGTCGGCGTGGTACTGCTTCCGCATCGCCTCCACCGTCGGCTCCCGGGATCCCAAGGCTTTGTGGCAGAAGGCGCAGATGTCTGCAGGAGGAAGGGAGAGAGGTTCAGTGCTGCGTGCCTCAGTTTCCCCAACTGGAGACGAGCCCACACTGCACAGCTGGGTCCCCCCCTTACCCCTGGAGCTGTCCCTCTCCGGGTACCCGTTTGCATCCTGCCACTGCAGGTTGCCTGCTTGCTCCTGGCAAAATTTGGGTGGTCTCAATTCGGCGGGACAGGTGGAAGGGGCCTGGTGAGAGGGGAAAGGCAAAGGCACATTACATTTATGCTCTTGCAGGTGGGAAAACTGAAGATGATTGCACCCCATCATCCTCACCTGGCGGGTGGCGGGTGCTGCAAGGTCCAGTTGCTGCAGCGCCGGACCCAGTGCCTCTGCAGATAAGGGCTGGGGTGGTTCAGAGAGGATGAGGACCGGTGAAGAGGAAGGCACAGGGGCCACTGAGCGGGTTTCTGTGGTTAAAACCAGACGTGGTGGGTTTAAAGGGGCAACAACGTGCAATAACACCCCGTTGCAGTAACACCCCAACAGCTTTGCAACAGCGTTCACCGACCTGCCCCAAAAGCAAACGCCGTCGCGGCCGAGCTGACAAACAGCACCGATAAGCACCCGGCGATGGAGAGCAAACACAGCCCTCCCTCAGCAGCCGGATCTGTCCCGGGATGGGTGCAGGGATTTGGGGAATAACCCCCCCAGAAAACCCACAACCCCTCCTGCCTGCACACGCATCCTTTAGCAAAGCATCTCCAGAGCATTCTCAGCACCATCACCATCCTCCCGGCATCGCTCGCAGCCCCCCACAGACACCCCTCACCTCCGTTGGGCAACGCGGGGGGTTGCGGCGGTGGGGTCCGGGGGTGATGGGTGCCCGGGACCTCGGCTCTGTCAGGCTGCAGCTCCCTTTGGGTTTTCCCCTTGGTGACCACCTCCCTCCGCGGTGGCACCAGGGTGATGAAGACTGATGAAGCGATCCTCTTCTCTGCTTTCCCCGGCAGCATCGTGGAAGCCGCGGAGGGGCCGGACCTGGGTTCAGTTTTGGGGAAAATAAGATAAAAAGGGAGCAAAACCCACGGGTGTACCAGCAGCTCCTGCAGCTGTGCTGCCCTTCGGCCTCAACCCGCCTCCTTTCTCATCCTCCCGGAAAGGGAGAAGGAATGAACTTCCCCATCCCACGTCACAGCAATAAACGGTCTCGTGCCTAGGACACAGGGTAAAGGGTCCACGAGAAGCAGCATCCAAAATCACCCTTTTTCATGCCTCTGTGACCAAACTCTGCCCTTTTTAAAGTATTTTAACCCCCTCTATTTCCTCTTATTGCCCCCACCTGGGATTAAACTTGCTGGGAAAACCCACCTTTCCTCTTAAAAACACAGTTGCAATGGGATATGCTTTTTCAATCCCTTTTTTGAGGTGTTTCTAGGTCCCTTGGCTCCCCATTCCCTCCCCACTTCCCCCCATTTCCCCACTAATCACTCCCAGCTCAGAGCATTCCCCGCTTTATTTTGCAGATAGAGAAACTGAGGCACGATGCCATGAATCGCTGCGTCCCTGTCATTGCAACAGCCCCCAGGCATCGCCCGGCGGCGCAGGCAGGATGCGCCCGACCCTGATAAACCCTGCTCGGGAAGGAAAAGGGCTGTTTATTCAGCTTCCCAACGGGAAAAGCAGCCGGGGCGAAGCTTCCCCTTCCCAAATGGGATGGTTTGGAGTGAGGGGGAGCCCCGAGGCTTTAGCCACGGTGCTGCACCGGTGAAGCAGGATCCATCCCCAAGATGAATCGGTAGCCTGAAAAATACCTGTGTGATGAGTTTCCTGGTCTCATGCCCCAGCACGGGGTGTCTCTGCTCCTCCAAAATCCTGCTCATGGGTGTCGGTGCATCCTTTGGGGGGGTGGCCAGTCTTCCCGCAGTGGGTGAAAAGCTTTGGGACGTGCACGCTGGTGACTTCAGCCTCTGACTCAAGCAGGGGAAGGGATTAAAAAGGAAAAAACCCCAAGCAGCTTCTCTCCCTCCTTCCCTCCCTCCCCTCCGGCAAAACCCCAAACGGGCTCCGGCGCTGCCAGCCTTCGCCCAGCCGCTCAAATCCTCGCCCGCAGGAGCTGCTGGTTTTCCTCCTTCCCGGCCAAGCTGCAGAAAATAGGGGGGAAAAAAAGTAATAATCATAAAAAACAACGCGAAAAAGAAAAAAAAAATCTCCAGAGCTAATGGGAACCATGTGCTCGTTGCATTCCTCTTTGTGCTGGGGCTGATGGGATCCCAGCAGCCCCATCACGGCACCCCCGGTTCCCCCCCCAGCTGGGGCCCATCAGGGTGGTTAAGGCTCGAGGGGTGCATTAATGGGGTTCACTCCCGCCCTTTTTTAATGGGGTGTCCTACCATATAGCTCCATCCTGTTTTGAGATGGCCAAGGCCATGCTGGGAAGGGCCCCCCTGGTTCCTGCAAGCATCACCCCAAAATCTCCTGGGGTGGGAGCCCTGGTGGGACTAACAGGGACAGGGACACTTCTGGGGCACCCACACATACCCCCCAAAATTGGGATGGGGCATGGCCCTCCTACAGCTGTCCCCTGCCCTGGAGACCTCTTGGAGGGTGCTCTCTGAGGATGCCCAAGGGAGAAGGGACAGGGTGGGGGGACACAGCCCTTGGTGTCCCCTTGTCCCTTACTTGGGGGGTGGCCTTGCAGCCCCCCTGCAATCCGTTGTTACCCACTGTCCCCTCCCTGAGGGTGCCCTGTCCCCTATGTGGCCCCAGCATGTGTGTCCCCCCCCATCTGGTGGCCCTCTGTCCCCTCCCTGGGGGTGTCCCCAATCCTGTACCTGGGGATGTCCCCCGTCCCCTACATGGGGGCGGCTCTGGGTCCCCTTGTCCCATCCCAGGATGCCTTTACAATCTTCACCCCATTACTTGGGGGGTCCCGTGTCCCATCTTGGGATGTCCCCAATCCCATACCTGGGGTGTCCCGTACCTGGGGGTGACCCCTGTCCCCTACCTCTGTCTCTTA